CCCCCGGCGCCCGCGCCCGGCCGCGGCGGGAAGGACGCGCGCGGGGTCGGTACCTGCGCTGAGCTCCAGGCTCGGGCCGTCGCCGCCCGCGCCGCTGCCGCCCGCGGCCGCCGGGCCCGGGCCGTACCTGACGACGGCGGCGAAGGACGAGGACGAGGACGCGGCGGGGGACGCGGGCGGCGGCGCGGGGGTCCTCAGGTGGCCCTGGGGCGCGGCGGGCGTGCAGGACGGCGACGACGAGGACGCGGCGGCGCGGCCGGGCGCGGCGGGGTAGGCGCTCTGCGCCGCGAACGGGTCGCTGCTGCTGATGGGGACGGCGGCGGGCGGCGCGAAGGGCGGCGGGGGCGGCGCGGGCCGCGCGGGCGGCAGCTCCAGCAGCGCGGGCCTGTCGTAGCGCTTGGCCAGCGCGGCCCTCTTGCCCGGGAACGTCTTGAGCACGCTGTAGGGGCCGCGCTGCCTGTAGATCCGGGGGCCGCTGGGCCCCTCCTCCGCCGGCTGCATCTGCGGCTCCGTGCGGCGCCTCGGGGCCGGGCCCCCCGGGCGCGCGCCCTCCTCGCCGGGCGCCGGGCTCCGTGGCCGCCCGCGCCGCCCGCCCGCCGGCTCTGCCCCCGCGCGCGCCCCTGGGCGGGCGAGTGTCTGCGCCGTGGCCGCCGCCGCCGCCGCCTGTCGCCGAGGCTGGCATCGCCGAGCCCCGCGCGAGGGGTTGCCGCCGAGCGCTGATTGACAGCCCGGCGCGCCAATGCCTGCAGGGAGGAAGGAGGCGCAGCGCGGGCGTTCGGGGTAATATCTGCTAATGATGGCGGGGGCGGGGCCTGGCGCCTCCGACGGGGAGGGCGGGGCAGAGCGAGGTCCCGAGCGCGCCCCGGCGACGGGCGAGGGGGGTGGGGCCGGGCGTCCGGCCGGGGCGAGGCTTCGGTGCCGCTTCCGCTGCTGCGGGCGGGGTCCAACTTCGGAGACGAGCTCCCGGGCGCCCCCCGCGGGACCCCAAACTCTCGGGGCTGCACAGAGCAGGTGGCAGAGTCGGGACCGGGTTGCCCCGGTGCGCGTGTAGCCCAGCAAGTTTTTCTACCGGTCGGGAATTGCTCCCCCAACCTGCCGAAAGGAGCCTCTCCAAGGCCTCGGCCCAGGTTGCTGCGGGGCGTTTGCGCGGCGCTGGGGTCTTGCTCCCACCGAGCTCGTGGCCTCCGAGCTCCTGCTGACCCCAGCAGCGCACAGGGCCTCGAACTTGTGCGTTATTTCATCTGTTCCACTCAGGAGCCCAGAGGAAGTGCATGACGTCATCATTCCCCCCATTCTACAGATGAGAAAACCGAGGCTCTGCGGGGTTGAAGGGAATTAATTGCGCATAGTCAATTGTGGCTGGGTTGCACTGATGCATCCGGGTTACTTGAATTCAAATCTCACTTCTCACAGCAGCTAGGCGCTGTGCAATTGAGGGGGAACATGACCTAACGCCTCCCTTTGGGATGGTGATTTCTTTCAATAATGCCTTTTATGTATGCGCACTTGCAGGACCCAGGTAGCCGGGGACTCTCCCTTCGCTGCCCAGTCCCTGCTAACTGCAGCTGGTGCCGCCTGGCAAGGGTCTCCAGAGCTGTGTGAGTGAGAGGAGATCTCAGTGGTTTGGTGGAGGGTCCCCCATGGGGTACAGGTGTCCTGGCCTCTCCCAGCCACTCTTTGGAGCTGAGGTCTGTTCCTCCTTATCTCAGATCATGCCTCCTCCAGGCCAGGACCAAGACCAGCATGCTGGCCCCCAGGTTTCCTTTCCAGCCTTCGTTCTTGGTTCTCCGCGTCAGAGCTCTGGTTGCTGGTTGTGGTGGGACCCTCGTCTCTGCACTCTGAAGTTTGCTTCCTTTTCAGATCTTCCCTTTTGGTCTTGAGAAAGTGACCCATTTTATTCTTCCGGGGGTTCAGGTGTCTGGCCTCTCCTTTCTCAGATCTCCCTCCCTTCGGAAGCTTTCTCTCTCCTTTGCCGGTTCGGCTTCTGTGTTCCTCCAGCCCAGCTTGGCTCCCTCTCTGCTGCAGCCTCCTCAGATGGTGCGGTGCCCCCCCCCCATCCATTTATTAGAGATGAAATAAATAATGCCATAAATAAAAGTATTTGGGAGTCCAGGAGCTGTCAGGGCTGATTAGGGCATAGAGGACATTTTCTTTCTCATTATGCAAAAGCATTTCATGGGGAAATAAAAGAGGTTTCATTGTAAGTCATGCATGTCATATTTCAAGGAATTCAAGATATTAATCATATTTAACATTATTTGCAACGTTTCTCCCTGGCTTCTGAAAACTGCTAAATGAGGACATGTGGATCGCTAGGAAAAAGGGAGACGAGCCTGAGAGGCACAGTTAAGAAATAATGAAATGCTGGTGGAAGACAGAGAGAGAGAATGAGATGCCAGGGAGACGTTTCTTAGCCACGTCAGTGAGAAATGGGGAGCTACTTCTGAGACAGGAGACAGCCGAAAGTGAATGATATGCTGGAGGAAATAGATGATAACAAACCTCCCCACACTCCCCTTTCTATAAAGCAGTTCGGAATTTTGCACTGAAATGTTTCCTCCCACTTTACTCCCAGATAGGTTACCAATAAGCCCTGGCTTTGAAAAAGAAATTGGGGTGGTGGTGGCGTGGGGAGTTTAGAGGGGAGACATCCTCCAGTTCTTCCACCGAAGAAGTAATTTCCTATACCTGGTGGTTCTCTGTTCTGCTTATGTATTTTTAATTTACATCATCCTCACCACTTAAACCCCTTAAGAGGCTGGGAACTTCTGTTGTTATGCTTTAACCAACTAAAAGGACCTGTCATCCTTTACATCAAAAAGTGGTCATTTCTATAGAACCGAATGCTCAAATTAGTGGTTTAGCTAAAAAAAAAAAGGGAGGAAAGGAAAAATACTAGAAATTTTTACATGATCAGCTTTCAGATCCTCATATGGGTAGTCACATATGTCTGAGTCCATGGAAAAATGAAGTACTTAAATAATCACTCTTTCGAAAATAAAATGGACGTTTACTCCAAGTGTGGAGTTGA